CAATTAGGGACGGCTAGCGCAAATAGCCTTCAGGCATTGCGCGAACTTCCAAAGAAACAAGCATTAAATTCAGCAGGTTGTATTGAGATATTGAAAAAAAAAACGCTGCTTGTTGATGACTGTTTTTCTTTTCATTTCAAGGATTCTGAAAATGCGAATTTAACCCTTTTAATTCTGTTGGGTAATATTTGTTCCAGCTTATGTTTGTGACGGACTAATGAGACCCAAATATCCCATAAACATTTTGTACAATTTGCTCCTGTAATGTGTTGCTATTAACGTCTCCTTTTTTTAAAATTAAATAAATAAAGCTTTGATTATAAGATATTTTTATTATACTTTCACCTTAGATTGTATATACATAAAGTGTTGATGGGCCACATGTTCTGTTCTTATTGGGGCATATATTACCATATGCAAATTTCAGAAATCGTACGTTGAAAAAATTTCCAAAAATGCAAAAATACATTTCTTCGATATCCTAGGTAATTTATATGTACTTATATTGTTTCTTTTATAAGAATACACTGGTAATGAAGGTAATTTATATGTACTTATATTGTTTCTATTGTAAGAATACACTGGTAATGAAGGTAATTTATATGTACTTATATTGTTTCTATTGCAAGAATACACTGGTAATGAAGGTAATTTATATGTACTTATATTGTTTCTATTGCAAGAATACACTGGTAATGAAGGTAATTTATATGTACTTATATTGTTTCTTTTATAAGAATACACTGGTAATGAAGGTAATTTATATGTACTTATACTGTTTCTATTGCAAGAATACACTGGTATTGAAGGTAATTTATATATACTTATATTGTTTCTTTTATAAGAATACACTGGTAATGAAGGTAATTTATATGTACTTATATTGTTTCTATTGCAAGAATACACTGGTAATGAAGGTAATTTATATGTACTTATATTGTTTCTATTGCAAGAATACACTGGTATTGAAGGTAATTTATATGTACTTATATTGTTTCTTTTATAAGAATACACTGGTAATGAAGGTACTATGTATGTACTTATATTGTTTCTATTGCAAGAATACACTGGTAATGAAGGTAATTTATATGTACTTATATTGTTTCTATTGAAAGAATACACTGGTAATGAAGGTAATTATATGTACTTATATTGTTTCTATTGTAAGAATACACTGGTATTGAAGGTAATATGTATGTACTTATACTATTTCTATTGCAAGAATACACTGGTAATGAAGGTAATTATATGTACTTATATTGTTTCTATTGCAAGAATACACTGGTATTGAAGGTAATTTATATGTACTTATATTGTTTCTATTGCAAGAATACACTGGTAATGAAGGTAATTATATGTACTTATATTGTTTCTATTGTAAGAATACAAAAGTCGTACCGAAAAGGTTGAAGATATGCTTTTTATAGCTTTTTAAAAATCTTTCTAACCGATCTATAAAAACCTAATAATAAGTAAATACAAATTATCCTGATCACCTTTTTTTTGAAAACATATCTTTATACTCTAAATAAATGTGGATACTTGAAATCACGATAATGACCAGTATCACTTTCTTAAAAACGATATTCAGTTTTAG